TCAAGATAGTAAACTATTGATCTAGAAATGATCCAGAGCGTGGATATCCCGAGAAAATGTATTACAGAAGAATGCCTGTGAAATCGCATCGAAGCGTGTGCAACAATATAATTTACCTTCAAGAATTCCGAACTCATCATTTATCTGTAACAGTTTAAAAGCACTTCTCGCTCTCCATCCCTGCTCTTTAGCCATACGATAGTAGATGTCTCGCTGATCTTTCGAGATTTTACCCATGATCTGCAAGAATAGCAAATATAATACGACCTTAAGAAAATGAAGCATTGCTTACTATGACCAGCTGTTCAAATAAATGGCGAACACCCTCAAAAGGAAACTATACGAGAAAGCAAACCGACGAAGTGCGTCAAATACAATGTTTCGTTTGCAAACTGCCGAACTACATCTTTTAAACACATCGCCTTGAAAGATAGTATAGGTTGGGAAAATCGAAAAAAAAATCATCGCGAGTTGCGACATGTTGCGACTTTTGTTCCGACTTTTTATTCTTGATTTATTGAGTGGTATATTGCCTGAGTTTTTTTTCACATTCGTCAGTTTCTGTTAGAGCATTATGTCACAAGCAATTGCCTTCTCAAAATTTTACGGCATTTGGAGGATGCTTGCCTATTCGTTTTTCTCGTCCATTTTGATTTGAGTCAGCAGTGTATATTTTATTTTGCAGATTTCTGAAAAAATCCGGCTGTCGGATTTGTTCTAGTATGCTATGTGCAGAAAGGGTAATCATTGTCTTTTCTTATTTCTACGATTTCCTCATTCTTCATTTTATTTGCACTTTGAATATGCAGCAATTATTCAGGGCAATTCTCCTTCCCATGATTCGCAGCGGTCAGGGAAACGAAAAGCTTCAGATGATTTCCTAGCAACGATGGATAAGCGGTGTTTAGTGAGAGACTTTGCATGTATCTTATGCCAGCGGATATGTAATATTCCCGTTTGCGACCACGGTTTTGTATCCATCTTTCTTTTATACCGATTGATTTTTTTTTCAAGCTTTTCATGTCTCGAGCACGGAAACAAACTTCTACTTTTTTCGTTAGTAGTATTTTTCTAACCAAATCTTTCTTTTTTCCAGATTGGTTCCTCTGTTGGCGTCTGACTTTAGCTCTGATGCCTTTTATTTCAGGTATGTATGCATAGGTTTTGTGAGAGTTGTATGAGTCCTCGAATAGCAGCTGGTAATCTGAGATGTCCCCGGTGCAATATGCAACTTGATCAAAACCAGCCTGTTTGTTATGATTCGAATTTCCAAGATATTATAACCAAGGTAAGTGTTTCCTTCTTCATTCGTTTGAATGTAAATTTGACAGTCGGAAAAATTAGAGCGCGTTCAGACTTCGCGATCGCGCGATCTGGATCGCGCGATCGCTGTGATCGCGTGATTTGGATCGCGCGATCGCTGTGATCGCGCGATCGCGCTACTGTGGGTGAAATTACACCGGGAGGGGATCATGTTAGTTCCATGTTTATTGTCGCTTTTTTTCCTTTTCCTTCTTTCTTTGTGGTACATAACGCCCTCCTAATTTTAAGGAACGTTTCGAAATATCTTTGAGTTATTTATTATTTCCTATGTAAAATAGTACTAAATATACAATATGCTAATTATTATACTGAATTTTGCATCTGAGTACGTTCAAGCGGAGTATTGAACATCTTGTTCCAAAAGTAAGACACGCAGAACTTTCAACAGCGGGTGATGTTGTTTCTCTCCCTTCCCCCGATTTTGCCAGTCCTCCAGATATTCACTTTACTTTTGTCACATTGTTTGCTTTGTTTGTTCTGCCATCCTCCAGGTCTATACACAACCTTTCCTTTCGACGGTTTCTGCAAACGTCAGTATTGCGAATATGAACACGGAATAAAAGACATCAAAAAAGGTCGAACTACTTTTATATCGTTTTTGGAACTGCCTATTGGAGGCAGGATACAGCATCGTGATGTGAGAAATGGTGATATCAGTACGACTCCCCAGAACTTTGTTGTTGTTGTTTGTTGAGTTGAGTTGAACACGAACGAACATGACCCCTCCCGGTGTAATTTCACCCACAGTAGCGCGATCGCGCGATCACAGCGATCGCGCGATCCAAATCACGCGATCACAGCGATCGCGCGATCCGGATCGCGCGATCACAGCGATCGCGCGATCCAAATCACGCGATCCAGATCGCGCGATCGCGAAGTCTGAAAATGAAAACAAATAAAACGCGCTCTTACACTTATTCCGCTATTACTACCCCAATCTTTCGAGGCCGAAGCCATTGTTTTTTCTACGGTGGCACATTTGGCTGTTACTTTGTTCCCAGGTGTAGTTTGACCTTCTAGACCCGAATATTCCTCCCACTTGGTCTGAACGCCTGACGCCCGCAGCCGACGCAAGTAACCCTAAATCACCAATTAGCTAAAAAACTTGTTTCTATGGGAATGTTTGACTCCAAAAAGTTGAATAATCTCCGTAGGATGCCAATGGTAGATAAGGAATGGCGGAAGGGGCTCCATATAACAGGTTGCCGCCTGTTCAGCTCGATCTGCACCCTTTGCCTCAGATAGGTGATCCCTTCCTATGATAAGTTGTAACGTTTGGAAGGGAGAAGCTATCAGTTTGTAGGCAACCAGAAAGGCACATGTTCTTCGTTAGCCTTAGACATCGCCTTTAGCTCGGAATAGCCTGGATCCACGCACACGCCACTGGATAAAACAGGCATGTTTGCACGTCGTGTTGTAAACGGCAGCGCATTGGCGATATCGTGCGAACGAGTGTCATATATGTGAGCCAGAGCACCACATAACCCCTGTATGCAAGATTAAAGTGGTTTTGGTGGAAAAAGTTGGCCCAAATTGGCGTCAGCGCCAAAAACTAGTGTGACAATCAGGATCAGAGCCCATCACTCTTATGGGTAGCGGTTTCTGCCAAAAAATAGGTCCTAAGTTTCACAGCAGTATTATGGATAGCGCCGAAATGTCGAATAAAACCCCATAAATTTCAATAGGGACATTATTGACGTCTTCCCTTTTGTTCTCACTACTTATGCATTTCATGCAGTTTTTTTCTATTGAAAATGCGATGAAAGCAGTTCAGTTGATGTATAACCTGTCTGTGTTCAGATAGATTTTGACTTGAATACTGTTCATGATTTGTTAACCAGAAAACCTCATTCCGCTTGTGAGTTTTCGAGTATTAGTGAGTTTTCCTTATTATTAGATCTTTAGCTATTTTTCAATGGGTACTAAGTGCTCCTGAGGTTTTTCCTATATTTAGCTAGTGATGAAGAGTACATGGATATGTGTGATGTGTCTGAGGAGCGTCGCAAAATTATACGAAAGAAATTGGCACCTCAAAGTAGGATACATCCGCTAGCGGCTGAACATGGTGAGCTGCATCAATTTATTTCTTCAAATTATTTTTGGGCAAGTTGGATACTACTGCATTGACGTCAATGCATGTTTTTTGAGCTAATTTTCCTTGTTAATCACCCGATATCAGATCGTTTCAGTTAGAATGTGTTGTGTTATCATTTCATTACACTGACTTTTTGGCGCAGTTTGGCTTGGTGGGGCGTACTGCTAGTTCGCTGCTTTTCTGTGGATACCTGTTACTATTATGATGTTGATGCAGTCCTCAATAATTGGCAAGAAGTCTACGGACTCTTTCCACGGTGTGAAGTGTAATTCAACAGGAACTAGGGGAACTGCAACATGCCCCTCCCAAGCCGAACAGCGGTCGTTTTTGTTGACATGAATGCGTCTTTCTCTTACTTTCGTCGATATGTGTACTTTAGTCGTATGTGTTATATTTCCTGTTCTTCTGCCTGTCCTGTTGCGTGGGAAGCTCACATCAGAACAGGAGTAATGAAGTAGTTAATGACGTGTGCTGGATAATCCAGTATTAGTAGCCCTGCTTAGTGTTTTTAAATCGTGCTCTTTCACGGATTTCTTCGCTTCTTATTTATTCGGTGTCAACATGTAGTGATTAAATGCGATACGATTAAATACGAAACGGATCATCTGTGATGTTGAGTGTATTATCTTTTCCCAGTATTTGTTCTTTGTTTCTAATGGACGTCGCTGTGGCCAGGACCGGACATGTTCCTCGCGAGCGGGGTCGCTTTCCTCACGATGTTTTCAGGCTCAGAAATTAGTTACATTTTTCATGTTTGACAGGCAGGGCCACGTGCTCCGAAGGGGGAGGCCTGGACATCAAATCAACGCGGGGCTTTCAATAACCAGTACTTAGTGGAATAGTAGATATTTCAGTGATTAATCAGGCAGCATCGATTTCAATAAGCTGCGGCAGCCGCATCAAATGAGGCTGCCATTGTGATTTGAAAGGCAATTAATTGAGTCGTGCGGCGGCGCAAGGGGACCGTAGTTCTGAAGCAAATGCCTGGCAAAGGGGCAAGGGGCCACAAGGACGCTGATTTTAATTTGTGAGCTATCGGAGAACTCTGTGTGGAGGTGTTCCAGGGCTGTCCTCTCCTGTAGCATGTATTTAAAAGTGGTATTTGTTGCACTTACGCCAAGTCAGGGCTGAGTGATGGGAGCGATTCGATTCCCCAGAAAGCTTCAGGATCTCGAACTATGTCATTTCTGGTCCTGAGTTTTCATGGAGTAGTTAAAACTTGAAGGAACGAATTGTGGTGCTTTCTCCACTTCCACTTTTTCCACTTCCGGTTAGGTTACAGGTAGCGCGCTGATCCGGTAACCATATTGTTCTGAGAAGGAAATTGACGCAATTAGCTCCAAGAACGCTTCATCCCATGCATCACATCATATTTATACGCGATTAATTATGCTATCGCCAGTATCCCGAGTCAGTTTTCGGTATTTTACTGTATTCTCTAATCGCCGTCATCCCTTAAGTTTGTGCTCTGAAAGTCTTGTTATCATAATTAAATTCGAATTTAAACAGCCATTTCGTAGTTATTACGATGTTATTATAACCCTTCTCTCGATTAAGCTCTTTCAGCGTTCTACTGGGATCGAAAGTTCCAAGGAAGTAATGCGTTAGTGCAGCGATACTTGAAGAAGATGGGATTACCTCATCATGATCCTCCTCTTCCTTTGCCGAAAATTCCCGAACATGATGGTGGTGAAATAGAAGAGAGGCGGCCGTTTCGAATTTATGGCAATCTAATCAATCATGTAAGTATGCAGTTGGAAACACGATTTCGCCATTCAACTTACATCTCTGAAGGTTCCTCCTCCTCTTCGTGATAAGCGGATCCGGGACGGTGCTAGTGGAGCTTATGATGCTGAGTACAAGTTGTTCGAGGCAAGTTTCAGTCGCATGCATAATCTCCCTTTTTTCTTTTCATGTGTTTCTGCCTTCGTACTTTCGCTTTTGATTTGGTCCTTGACCCAGAGTTTGATTATTGATGTCAGTGTCCTACTCTGTACCGCTGCTGTCGACAATATGATTTTCAGTGCAACAAAGATCATGTTTGGCCAACGATCGAGAAGAAAGAACCCAACAGATTTGGTATTACTGCCGAATACAGAAAAAGTCTGTTGAAAATGCGTCGTATGTTTCGATCGAAACCGCGAGCTGCTGAAAGTTCTGTGAGTGAGTGTACAGAAATAGAATCTGGAGATGAGAAACCTGCAACGAGCGATGGAAAATCCAAACATGATCCATTGGAGAAAGTTGAGGCTGAGGTGAACTTTCACGTTCTTATGTGATCGATCCCTCGACTCGCCAACGCCTGGTTTCAGGTGGATGTTTTTCTGGAAAAGGAGGCGAATGGCGAGTCATCGAGTAATGGATCTCTAGATTCAGAGGATGTCACTGATATGATCTGCGTGAGTTATTTTATCATCAAATTTTCTATGCTCTGTTATCTCATTGATTCAAGTTTGCTTTTACATATTATATTACTTCGAATTTTTTACTCGCCTGAATTATACCTCCATCTTCGCTCACTGTCTAATTCTTGTCTATTTTAAGCATTGATTGAATGCAATTGACATCCTTGCAATGAGTGGGGCGGTGTCAAGGGGCATGGAATAAGGCCAACCATGGCGTTTTTGCCACTGGTTCTTTTCTTCTATATCGATCAATAACCGATCTTTATTGCTATAAGAAACCGGGACCGGGCCGGGTCTCCGCCACATCTGACACCACCCCGACTGATTGCGGTGATATCAGCTGTACGTGTTCAATGTGGTAGGTCACTGTCACTCATTTTCGTTACATCCGAAGCTATGTTTCATAAAAAGAATGTAGCTGTCATCATGAACTGTGGTTCACCGCTGCCGTTGACGATGCTAATGTTTCATTGAAACCTAGACAGGACTGAAACCTGCAGCTCTTGCTCAGTGGGGTAGTGCACTAGCCACCAATCACCAGAATCCCTTTGGGCCTCTTCACTAAACGGTTTCTTCATACCTATTCAATGAGCGTCATAGGCGAAGAGCAGGGTAGCTGGCATAAGTGTGAGGAATTAGTGCGGCACTGGTAAAGATCGCTTGAGCGTGCTGTCCAGCTTCCAATCGTGGCTGGGCTAAGTTTTTTGGCTCTAACTCATTATCACTGTAGTGACCTGAAGCTTTCAATTTAGTTCGCATAAGTTCTGCTAGAGTTTCTTCTATTGCCGTTGCTTTAATGGGCAACGCATTTATAGTTTCATTGTTATTACTAGAACTTATCCCCTTAGTCTCTAGGAGATGTGGCTCAAGTATTTTACACTTTGTCAACCACTCCTAAGCGGTTTCAATGGAATTTTATGTGTAAAAGTTTTACCGTGCTAGCATAAGATTGTTTTGGATATGTTCTGAAGGTTTCTAATATCCTTATCCTTTCTTAAGGGCGCGTTCTTTCACTGCAAAAATTTTTCTCAAATACGACCCCACACCAGATTTTCCCTACCGGTACTACCCTCTTTTACCACCCTTCTTACCGTCGTTCTAACTTTTCCAGAAGTTCTTCACTTTTTCCAAGAAAGTGGTCAGCCAAGGGGGATGGAGTCGAGGAATAGTCACCAGCCGGAAAAAACGTTGTGGATAGGCGGTTGTAACAGAAACGCCAGCTATCGAAGAATGTTCTCAGGCCAAATCCCCAATGCGATCCTCATCTCTCCAGCGGCCAAATACGACCTCAGAGTAGGACGCGCTTTGCCTATCAATTATAATTCTTTCTGATTATTGGTAAGTCATGCCCCTCTTAGTTACACGTTCTTCAAAAATTTATCTCACGACTGAAGTTTAGCTTGTTTCTGAGGGCATGCTTGTTTTAGCTTTCTCAAAGTAATCGTAGCTCTTGATAATTTAACAAATTTTTCCATGTGATTAAGCAATTTTTGCATACTCGCAGTTACAGTATAGCCAAGTTCACCAAGGTCACCTATGTTTCATTTCAGGAACGCCACCATTTGTTTCTCAATCGACAAGCGACCCAAATCGTGGAAGTAGTGTTACGACCGAATCGTAACCCGAAATCCTCTTCTCGTATCATCTCCACGCGGGAGCTGACGTCGTTTTATCTGTTTGTGGATGAAGCTGCCACTGTCGCTCATTTGCAGCAGTTTGTTTTAATGCGGATCAACAGTCTGTACCCGAAAACTGAGCGACGGGTAAGTCAGCCATTAATTACTACTTATATTAAGCTCAGGTAAAATATTAGTTTTGTTTTTTTTTAATATTTTTTCCATAACAAAATCAAGACAATGGCGGACAATTTGTTCATTTAGTTCCAGGGATAGCTACACCGAGGATTAAAACCAGCGTCCAGTTCATTGTGAATCTTGCAGGTATCAGTACTCATCAGTAGCATCCTGTGGGAATGTAAGGCGGCTCGTTTGGCTGTGTTGCAGTGCACTCGTCCGGTGAGTATCATACGACTGGCATCCCATGAATTTTCTACTTTTTTCATGAAAAATCCCATTTAAGGGCA